GAGGATCTTTGGTTCAGAAATCCAAACCGCAAATAAGAGACGGTTCTGCTAGAAATGGTTATTTAAAACACGGTAATAGGATTAATAGAATCAAGGGAATATAGGAGAAAACTCTCCAGAGTTGAACCAGAAACACACAAAATAAAATAAATAGAAATCTAATGCATAGCCTGATGTATAGTCTGGTAAAATTCTTATATTGTTAGGAAATGAGAAGACTCCTCCAGCTCTGAAGAAGGAAACAAGGCTGTCTTTCAAGGGGATTAATCACCCTTTGATCAACGGAAAACGTCAAAAGTGGGTCACTGTAAACATCAAGAGGAATGATGACAGGTCACACTGCGTCACGGGAGAATCCGGGTGTCCACACGCACGGACACCACACCACTGCAGGATTCTACACTTCTCTGCAGAAGATTGGTACTTATTAAATGTAGAAAGAATGCTAGAGAAAATACCCCCCTTTCAACCAGTAACTACAGCCAAACATCATCAGTGGATGTGAAAATCTTGGTGAGAAAGGACGTTGGGAACAGAATCTCCACAGCCTTGAAGTTCAGCCCTTAGATTATTCATTAATTACAATGGGAAAGATGAAGCTTCACAGTAGAGAAATCTGGGGGATGACAGCTCCTCCAGGAGATGAAATATAGCATCCCCAGTGATGGGACACAGTGGCACCTCATGTGCCATGGGAAACAGTGAGAAGAATTCACACAATGTCACTTGGGTAGTGTTCCTGTTAAAAACGTCTGAGCTTGGCTCAGTGCCTGTAGCTCAGTGGTTAGGGAGCCGGCCACATGCACTGAGGCAGGTGGGTTCAAACCCGGCCCTGGCCAGCTAAACAACAACGACAACTGCAACCAAAACATAGCCGGGCGTTGTGGCAGGTGCCTGTAGTCCCAGCTACTTGGGAGACTGAGGCAAGAGAATTGCTGAAGCCTAAGAGTTGGAGGTTGCTGTGAGCTGTGGTGCCACAGTACTCTACCCAGGGCAACATAGTGAGACTCTCTCATATTAAAAAAAAATGCCTAAGCTGAATCCAGTAATGAGGAAACTTTCAACACACTCATTTGAAGGATAGTCTGTAAAACGGCTCAGATTCTTCAAAAATGTCAACGTTGTGAAGGCTTCAACAGGGCTGGGAAACTAAAGAGATGGATGGGATTTTGGATTAAGAACAGAGAGTTATAAAGGACATTATCAGGACTATTGGGGAAACTGAATATTAACTATGCACTAGGTAACAGTATTGTATTAATGTTAAATTTTTCCAAGTGTGATTATCTCTTTGTGATTATGTAGGAGAATGTCCTTAAGCCTTGGAGATATTTTCTTCATGAAAGTGAAAATAATATTGATAACTGCATCAGGGTGGCAGACTAATGAGGAGTTTTAAGCTGTGTGTTTTGAGGTCATCCTATTGTTTTTTAAAAAATAAGAGGAAAACTTAGTTGATGTGAAAATGAATGTCCCTACTTCCTTTCTCCCAACTACTTTTGTGTCTTTTGCAAGGAATTCCTCCCATAAAGATTGTTCTCTGGGGCAACACAAAAGCATGAAAAATTCCTCAATTCCTTAAGTCAGGTAATGCCAAAAATAACATCCACGGAAGCTTGCTAGCACGTTAAAAAACCTGCTCCCCCCATGTGAGGGGAGAGGGCTGGGTGCATTTTATTAAGAGAACCTATTAGTGCATACCATCCTCTTAGGTTATTCGAATAAATCCAATCAGACAAACATTTACCAGAAGCCACCATGGGCCAGATTTGGGCTTGGACAAAAACACAAATTAAACATATTTCCAGCTATCGAGACTTCCAAACCCAGGGGTGCTGTGTGACACACACATGCAGTCTGCGCTGTGTACTTTACCGATGTAGTCAGAGAGGTTGACTTTCAGAGACTGGATCAGTAATCCTTCCTGCACCAGCTCCTTGTACAGGGACTCGATGGACCTGGGGGCAAAGCAGACCGTCTGTTCCAGGAGCACGCACAGAAGATCAGCAGGATTTCTGTCAATCGTCACATATGTGGAGAACAAACCAGACCTATTTCAAAGTATGATTGTATATATGCAAATACATGGAATTTTGAAGTGTTTCTACAATTTGGGGATAAATCAGGCTTTTTAAAAACAATACTTTCGCTCATCCATGTGTGTATCTGATGGTCCCCATTAAGAAGAATGACATCTCTGGGCGTCTGAGACCAGCTGTAACTCCTGCCGTCTGCCCTTCCGTCAGCCTTCGTGATGGCACGAATATGAATTAGAAATTCCCCAATAGCAGTAATGCAAGGGGCCTATAATTATACATTCAGTTAGCATCTGCATGCGGCAGTAGGTCATTAATCCTTTGAAAAATTTATGTTTCCTTTTAACTCAATAGCATAATAGTTTAAAAAATATATCTATATGGAACACAGGCTTACACTGGAAATAATTCTTACATGGAAGACCAAATGTCTCAAGCAAAGGGCACGATGGTTTTTTAGGAGGGTGTTATACTTTTCTGCAGTGTTTACAGAGGTCTGAACCACTTCTCCTAGAAGACCCGAGGCACAGTCGGCACACATCAGTAATTTATACTAATTGAGGAAGAATGAAGATAGTATCCCACGAAATGGACGCCACTCCCAGTGATATTCGCTGGGCATTGGCTTACGGGAATTCAGGCAGGTTAAGCTCAAATGTTATTCAATATGATCCTTTGAGATGTTTTGCCTCTTCCTTTTCTTTATTCTTCCAGCCCACCCTAGACTGACTGTGTATTGAGAATTGTAAATACGACCCTATTGCCGCCATTCTTTGGCTGTACTATGACTCAAGTTAGTGTGGTTAAAGGAGACACAAGAATATCATTCAGACTCAAGCCAGATACCACGGGGATAGATGCTAATCCAATGACCACAGTCTTGGGTTGGCTAGAGTTGTACTGCAGCAAATGTCTTTAAAATAGTATGCCCTCTGCTGAAAATTAAGAAAGATAATGGAGAATGTTTGAAAACCTATGTACTATTTATTTTCAATGTTAAAGCATTATCAGTCGTTTCAACTTAAAAAATGAGCGTTTAAGTTATTCATTTGTACTGTATTAAAGTCCACCAGTGAAGCTCAAGGGAATGGAAATATCCTGTTACAAGCCTCAGCCCCATCCTTTGGTCTCATCCCTTTACCAAGTGTGACGGGAGTCTCCAGGGCTGGGCCAGGCTGGGAAGGGGAACTGGCTGTATCTCAGGGCAACTCAGAGTCTTGACCTTTTCTCAAAACTTCCTTCAGGATATTATTTCTTAGACAAAGTTTTTGAAGAATGCCCCTGTTCCCGCCAATGAGTTTCAAAACCTAAAAATCTGGGTAAACTCAGCTGTGATGAGGACCCAAGTCTGCCTTCCTGGGCCCATCTTCTCCATTCTGGAATCTGTACGGGACTTCATGGTGGCTCCTTCCACTCCCATGACACTCTGCTGAGGAGGAAGAGGATGTGGCGTGGCGAGAGGGACGCTCAGCTGGGCCACGCGCTGGGCTGAGGCTGCCTCTCCTCGGGCACCCGCCCTCCCCACGCACTACAGCGAAGCCTGTCCACTCCTGTCCAAGCCTGTCCACTCCTGTCCAAGCCTGTCCACTCCTCACCTGTCAGCTGTCAGGTCTTTATCCTTCCTTTTCCCTTTTTTTCCTTTCTTCCCTTTATTTTTCTGAAAATGAAAAAAGGAAATAACAATTTAGTCACAATAAGCAAGCAAATAAGCCCTAGAAATTAGCTAAGAGAACTGTTTTTTGCGGTGGTAGGAAGAATGTCAGACAAACTGATGACGGAGCTGCAATGTTTCAGGAAGGCAGGGACCGGCCTGGAAACCCCAGCTTGCCTGCGTGGACATGTCCCCTGTGCAGCGGGAAGGTCAGGTCCCCAGTGCAGAACATGCTCTGGGCGCAAATTCCAACTGGGTCTCTACCTCCCTTTTGTGGGTCACCTTCTACCCTGGCCCCTCGGGTGACACAGAAGGCATTTCAGGTATGTTCTCACTTTTTTGTCTTTCGTTCCTCCACGTCCATTTCCTCATTCATTCACTCCTTTTTTTGAGACTGAGTGTCACTTTGTCACCCTGTGTAGAGTGGTGTAGCATCATAGCTCACAGCAATCTCAAACTCTTAGACTCAAGCCTCTTGCCTCAGCCTCCCAAGTAGCTGGGACTCCAGGCTCCTGCTACAACACTGGCTGTTTTTAGAGATGGGATTTCCATCTTGCTCAGGCTGGTCTCAAACTCCTGAGCTCAAGCAATCCACTCATAGTGGCCTCCCAGAGTGCTAGAATTATAGGCCTCAGCCACCTTGCCTTGCCCTCATTCCTTCATTCATTCACTCGTTTTTATCCCACTATAATTTATGTGCAGTAAAGTGTGCACACATTCCCAGGCCGATCGGCTTTTACATTTGTTTTCTACATATATCCCTATAACCACCATCCAGTTACAGATATGACGCCGCATGTCTCCCTCTGACCGCTCTGTCCCTTCACTTCCACACTCTGACTCCATGGTAGAGTCGTGTGTCCTGGTCTCCTGGGGAGAATAGTACTACATACTCTTCTACATGTGGCTTCTTTCAAGCAATGTTATGACCACAGGATTCACTTACATGGTTGCGCAGAGCTAACTTCATGTTTTTCATTTTGTAAAAAACTAAATGTTTATTTTGAGAAAATGGTAAATTTACATGCAGTCATGAGAAACAGCAGAGAGAGGTCAAGTGTACCCATCACCGGGCTTCTCCCAGTGGTGACATCTTGCCAAGCAATCTTAGAAGATCACAACTGGGATCTCGGCAGGGATGTAGGCAAGTCACAGGATGTCTCCACCACCACAGGAACCCTGGGTCACCCTTTGACAATGATGGCCTCTTCCCTGCCACGACCACCCCATCTCTACTAGCTCTTCATCAGATGTGTGGTTTGCAAATATTTCCTCTCAGTCTGTAGCTTATCTTTTTATCTTGTTTGCCTTAAATTCCAAATATCTTCTATTTTTTTTCTAAAAGTAAAGTCCGTGACCTATTTTGAACTAAATTTGTATGATGCGTGAGACTTAAGTTCATTTCTGTTTGCTTAGGGATATGTAGTTGCTCCCGCACTCTTAATTCCCCCCCTTTGCAATGTTTTGCGCCTTTGTCAAAAATCAGCAAGACTTATGTCAGTGGGCCTAATTCTGGGTTCTCTGTCCTGCTCCATCGTCCTGGGTGTCTGTCCGTCCCTCTCCCCGGAGCACATAGTCTTACTGCTGCAGCTGTGTAATGAGCCACAACATTGCATGCACTGATCTTTTCCACTTTATTCCTCTTTTTCAAAATGGCTTTCATTATTTTTATTCCATTGTCTTTTCATACAAATTTAGAATAATCTTGCCTATGTCTACAAACTATACACATTTATGGGATTTTGACAGACTTGCATTAAACCTCTCTACCCATGTGGAGAGAACTGACCTTTGTACTGTGCTGAGACTTCCATGCACCTGGTGTGTCCGTCCCTTCAGCTCTTTGATTTCTTTCATCAGCTTTGTGCAGTTTTAACATGTAAGTCTTGTACCTGTTTTGTTAGATTTACACCTACAGTTTTTGAGTGATGTAAAATGTCATTATGCTTTAATTGTGGTGTCTTTGTGTTCATTGCTGGTGTTTATTCTGTATCCTGAAACCTTGCTGAAGTCATTGTTTCTAGAACTTTCTTTCTAGATTCCTTGGAATTTTCTACATGGATAATCATGTCCTCTGCAAATAGAAGCTTTTAACTTTATAGTATTTTAGATTTATAGAAAAGTTACAAAAATGGTACAGAGAGGACCTGTGTACTCCTCACTTAGTTTTCCCTATTAACATCTTACATTATATGGCACACTTGCCACAACTCAGGAGCCAACACTGACACAGTATTAACAAAAATGCACAGTTTATGGGGTTTCCACAATTTTCCCCCAATATTATTTTGTGCCCTATAGGTGAAATGCCTATATGCCTCTGGCCAAAAAAGCTGCTTGAGAGAGAGCAGTGAAAAGACTTTGTACAGGCATACTTGTAAGAAACTGAGGCAGAATCCCATGTGGCCAGGTTAGTTGCAGGCCTAACATGACCAAGGCTTTGGCTGGAATAACATTTCCAGACTGCGTTAAGGAATTAAGGTTGACTTTATAAGGCCAATGATAAAGCCCTTTGGAAAACTGGCCGGATACCCATCAGTAATCTTTCCTGATCTGTAGTAAGTGACAAAGGTCACTTGCTGATGGGTCCGGGAATAGTAATGTCATATAGGTATCTAATGGCACAGATGAAACCTGGGCTCATGAAAGGCTTTTGAGAAGTCCAGCCTGAGAATTCCTTATACAAGGTTCCAGCAAAACCCCCCTGACTTAAGACCTACATGGGAGCAGAGGTTTGCATACAAATTCCTTTATGCCCAAGAAGTTTCTCTATGCTTTGCTTAAAGATTCAAAGTAACTGCCTCCAAATGGCATGGTTTGAAGAACAGACATTCAAAACGTCTCTTTCCCCCATAGCCTCAGGCTTCATCAGATAAGAACATAGAAAGTAATAACTGACAACATGTTCTTCATTAAGTTATGTTAAACTGGGTTATATTGAAAGGATTATGCTTAAAGCTGTATGCTCGGTGGATTATCAGATTACCAGGGAGGAGCTACTTACAGGGCGGGTGTTCATAAGACATTTGAATGGATTAATGAAGTCATTGATGTCCAGTGTGCATGTGCAGAGGGATTGTAATGAATGTTAATGAGGTCATTGCTGTATACTGTGCATGCACAAGATTCCCTATATAAAACCAACAGCAAATAAAGAAGGCTTGCCATTTTGCCTGAGTGAGCAGATGGTCACCTTTATTTAAAACACAATTTCAATAAGTGTACTTATTCTTTGTGTCATTGCTTTTCCGTGAGACCCTTCCGGCAATGGTGTCCCAGGATCCAAAGAAGTTTTTGATTTCTTACTGGTTTGTGGAGACTTCCTATTTCTTCTTGATTCAGTCTTGGTAGGTTGTATGTTTCTAGAGATGCATCTGTTTCTTACGGGTTATCCAATTTGTTAGTGTATAATTATTGATAATAGTTTTTCATTATCTTTTTTCTTTTTGTGACACTGGTGTCTTCTTCCACTTCTGAATTTATTTGAACTTTTTCTTCTTTCTTAGTCTAGCATAAAGTTTGCCAATTTTTAAAATCTTTTCAGGAAACCAATTCTTAGTTGATCAATTTTTTCTATTCTCTATTTCACTCATTCTGCCCTAATCTTATTATTTACTTCCTATGCTTTGGGAACACTTTGTTTAGTGCCCCTCGTTTTCCTAGTTCCTTGAGGTATGTTAAGTAGTTTATTTGAGATCTTTCTTCTTCTTTCTTTTTTTTTTTTTCCAGTTTTTGGCCAGGGTCAGGTTTGAACCCGCCACCTCTGGCGTATGGGGTGGGTGCCCTACTCCTTTGAGCCACAGGCGCCTCCTGATGTTTTTTCTTTTTTAATGTGGGCATTATTGTTGTAAATTTCCATCCGTACTATTTTGCTGTAATGTTTTGTATGCTGTGTCTTCATTTTTGTTTTGAGATATTTTCTTATTCTCTTTTAGATTATTTCCTAGACTCAATGGTGGTTTGAAGTGTGCTGTTTACAAGTATTTGTGAATTTTTTTACATTTCTTTTTTTTTATTGATTTCTAGTTTCATTTCATTGTGGTTGGAAGTCATCTGGAATGTTTTCAATCTTCCCATATTTATTAAGACTTGTTTTGTGACCTAGCATATGAAGAATACCCAGGAGTATATTCTCTGTACTTAAGAAGAATGTATGACCTGCTGCTATTGGGTAGAATAACTGTTAGAACACTGGTCTGCAGTGTTATTCAAGTTCCTTATTGACTTTCTGTCTGGATAATATGGCCATTATTAAAAGTAGAATATTGAAGTCTCCTACTATTATTGTATTATTGTCTGTTTCTCCCTTTAGACATATATATTATACATATATATAATATATATATTAACTTTATATACTTAGGTGTTTTTATGAAGGATATATATATATATACATATATATCTGTGTGTATATATATATACACACATACGTAATGTGTATATATGTATATATATGTGTGTATTTATATATATTTATCTCTTCCTATTGAATTGACCTTATCATTATGTAATGATCGTTTTGGTCTCTTATGACAGTTTTTGACTTGACTATTTTGTCTTATATAAGTATAGCCACCTCTGCTTGTCTTATTTCTTCATGAAATATCTTTTTCTATCCCCTTACATTCAGCTTCTATGTGTCCTTAAATCTAATGTGACTCACTTATAGGCAGAATATGGTTGGATATTGTTCTTTTAAAATCAATTCAGCCACTCTATATCTTTTGGTTGGTGAGTTTAATCCATTTACAAGTAATTATTGATAGGTAAGGTCTAACTCAGGGGTCCTCAAACTTTTTAAACAGGGGGCCAGTTCACTGTCCCTCAGGCCATTGGAGGACCTGACTATGGGCCCCAGGATGAGTCGGCTGCTAAGCAGGACAGGCAGCAGTGGCAAAAACCCCTGGTGGGCCGGATGAATATCCTCAGCGGGCCACATGTGGCCTGTGGGCTATAGTTTGAGGACGCCTGGTCTAACTATTGCCATTTTGTTAATTTTTTTTTTCTTTTTTGCTTTGTGGTTCTTTTTTCTTCTCTCACTGTCTTCCTCATAATTTGATGCACTTTTGGTAGTGATATACTTTGACTCTTTTCTGGTGCTGGGGTCCAAAGGCAGGACTGCTGCTGATTTTTGTGGGTGGGCCTGGTATCACAGTTTGTAAGCAGGCCTATGGTGTTGGGATCCACAGGTGAGAGGGCCTGGTGGTGGTGGGGTCTGTGGTGAAAGCAGATGCTCACTTATATGTTCTTTCCTTTCAAGGGAGAACTAGTGGGCCTAGGAGATGTGTGGGCTTTGGGGAGGGGTGACATGGGAAAAGTGAAACTTCTTATTGTCTCCAATGCATAAGAGATGTAGTTGGAGTTTCTGTGCCCCAACTACATCCCCACACTTGGATTCCAGAATTCTTGTGAAGGTACTTTCATTTATAGATGGCTGTTAGTTGCCAAATCAGTGTTATCAGATGACAGAGATGGACCTTCAGAACAGAGGTATGAAGGGAATTAAGTTGCCCTCAGAGTTAAACCACATCAATACAAAACAGACAAGGTAGAGTCATCCCATCCTAAAGAGATCATATGGCATTGAGCTGGCAAAACTAGACACTAATGCAGCTCAATGTGTGAAAAATGCCAAGAGAGAATGTGCGAATCACAGGAAAAGTGGATCATCCATGGAACTTTGGGAAAACTGTCACAAAGGCAAAGCTTCCCCATGAGAGGAAATCTTAGCTATCTGCCTTGGAGGTCCTGGTCTGGATGGCAGGCAAGGCTTTCTCCGGGATAAAGTTAGAGGTAGGGGCTCAAGTGCTTTGATGTGGCTAGCTTCTCTAAGCCACTGTGAGGAGGGACCTAGAGGCCTTTCTCCTAAGTGAAGGAACCCAGGAACAAAAATCCAAATGCTGCATGTTCTCACAAGTGGGAGCTAAGCTACAGGTAAGATTAGGGTGACCAGACATCCCGATTTTGGTGGGACAATTCTGCTTTTCAACAATTTGTCCCGCGTCCCGCAGCATTTTAAAAAAGTCCCGATTTTTGGAAAGAATGCACGAAAGGGCGGGAGAACAAGAAGGGAATATATGGTTTTCAGCTGCCATATGGCTATTTTGCCAGAATATGAGTTTTATATTATTTTTGTTAATTTTATAATGTTAAACTGTAATAAATAATTGCTGATTATCAAGAACTGCTTATCAAAGTTTGTACTGTTGTCAGGCCCTGCCTGCCCGGTCCCCCGCCCCGCGTCCCGGCTCCACTCTGTCCCTACTCCAACCCCTGCCATGTTGTCCTGCCTTACAGATGTTAAAATCTGGTCACCCTAGGTAAGATGGTCATACAGAAGGACATAATGGACACTGCAGACTCAGAAGGAGGAGAGTGGGGGAGTGAGGGATGAAAAGACATTTGTTGAGTCCGGTGCACACTATTTGGGTAAGGGAAACCCTAACAGCCCAGACTTCATCACTATACAAAACTCTCCACTTTATCCTCCAAATCTATTGAAATAAAAATAAAATAAAACCAAACCATCACTCCCAACATCTCTATGACAAAATAAACCACTGAGGATTAGCAGCAACTTATGATTCAGTTTATCTGATTCTTTTCTCTATGATCCCCACTTAGAGAACCTGCTCATTGCCATGACCCCCTGTAGACCACTCCACTTAGGAAGAGAAGGTAGGATTTGGATGTGTGCACTGGCTTGACCTGTGGGGGCAAGATGCAGCTGATGGGGGCTGTAGGTGGTCATTATCAGACAGTTGGATCTATCTATTTATGAAGACGCTTCCTGAGGGCTGAATGTTAGACTGATTAAATTTACCAAACAAAGGAAGGTGTGTTTCCCTGTGAGGCCACAGGAAGCCCTTTGGTATGTGCCACTGCATGGCACTTGTCATGACTGAACCTGCCCCCTCCCATGCTCATTCACTACTCACCTGCCCTTTCTTTCTTTCTGCCTTGAGTGGATAGCCCCTTTCTCTGTTCACAGCTAGTTTTAAGTTTTTTAGTTCTTGTCTCATCAACTCATCAACCTAGGAGAATACAGAAGAACATACTACTTTTAGGTGACTTTGCATACCCTGTGTTTCTATATGCAATAAGGAGGTAGGTCATTGATAGGAAATTGTAAAGAAGCACAATCATTGCAGGAGATGACTTGTCATTACTGTGACAGAAATGCAGCTGTACCTGCACTCTTAGCTCTGACTCTAATTCTTTCCGTTTCTCCTCTTTGATCATTTCTCGATCACAGTCCTGAGGGAAATTCCAAGATTCATCTCTATTCATCCATATGTCTATACTCCAGAGGGACAAAGAGAAAGAAAATGATAAAGCTTTTCAACATGTAGGTTAATGACAACAGTTATTGCAATATGAACATGAGTCTAACTTTATATCTTATTGCATAGAATAAAACTTTAAGTAAAATAAGTGATGAATTCATAACTGTGCTTGTATACTATCTTTAAAAAAGAAAATTGGCAATGTGAAAATCTCAAGCAAAAAAGGATCATAGAAATAGTATACTAAGATTCTAACCATGTGAAAACAATATGTCCATGGCAGGATTATACAATTATGGGTTACTCTTTTTGTAATATGTTTGAATTACTTTTATTATTCAAATGATTCACTAAAATATGAAAGATTTTGTTGCCTGTTGAACTCTTTCTAGTAATTTATCCTTGCCCCCTTTTATAAAACAGACAGAACTAAACATACAAGTACCCATTACTTTTCCTTAAGTCAACAGCTATGTTTTTGAATTACTTTTTGGATGTTTTTGCAATCACACATAATTTAAATTTCCATTTTGCCTTATCCTGGTGGATAGGAGGATGGTCCTAGAGAAAGCTGACCTTAGGGAAAAAAATAAGAATAATGTCCTATAACTAAAATAAGTAAACTGAAGTAGAGCTCATTTCTTAGAAGGGAAATTCTAAACATATGCTGAGGTGTGTAACTGGGTCCTTGAAGTGGGACTTGGGAAGAATCACCCTTGGGAAGATAAGACTTGCCATCTTGGGAAATGAGGTCTCTTCCTGGAATCTTTACTTAGAATGTGAAGGAAATTTGCTCACCAAACTCACCAAACTGACAACCACCACCCAGTTTGGCTATTTTGCTGGGCACTGAGTCACGGTAGGGCTGTGGTGACCTCCAGTGTGGGAAGGCAATGGAGGGACCTGGGGCATAGGGAGAGGCGCCCAACCTCTGCCAGACAAGGGCTATAGCCTGGGAAGAAAGAAGAGTCTACAGGGCCTCCCCCACAGGTGCTGTCATAGGTGGACGGGGGTTCCTCAGCATTCCTGATGCCCACGTGAGTGACCAAGAAAGGAGAGGGAGGTGCTTAAACTCAACACTGGGAGGAAAATTCCAGTCACAGAGCATATCTCTGGCTTCTGCAGAGAACCAGAGGAGAACCACGTAGACAAACTAATAAGAAAGGGAAAGGTGAATCTCAGCATAAACCACAGGGGACCATGAACTAGCAAAAAGAGTGAGCAATGGAAGGGGCGGGACAAGACGTAATACAGTCTGATCCGGGAAAAGCTAGATAGAGTCGTGGAGAGACGGGGAAATGGTGACAACATTGTGACACACAGCTCAGAGCTGGCAAATGGGCAAGGCTATCATACTGAAGGCTTTGGCCACCTAAAGCCTGACTGGTCAGCACAGCCTGATGCAAGGAATACAGTTTGGGATAAGCCATTGACCTTAGCAGGTGACAGCCTTGCTAAGCCTGATTTCTTTTTTTTTTTTTTGAGAAATAAAAATACCGTCTTCCTCATACTGATCGGGGAAGGGCAAATAGAATAAAATATGTAAAGATCCCAGTTTAGCCCGATCATCATTGCCATCCCTCAAGAGCAGAGCCTCAAAGGCTTTAGCTGGTCTTATCGACAATCTCCATCTCCCTGGGCCAGAGGAACCACACAGGTCAGCTGTTGTGCAGGAAACAGTTGTACCCTAAAGCAGACGTGTTAGCAAAAAGGAACTTGTGGGTCCCAGGAGTCCAGTAACTGTGCCCTATTAGAGTGGTCAGGACCACTGCAGGAGGGAGGGACATGGAAATGCAACTCCAATTCTCAGAAAGTGTCCACTGGCTGCAGATGCTGACATCAGTGACATGAGAGGAGCTTTCTGGGCAGAACTGGTTGTCTGCACTCACGGGCCCACTCTACTTTCTGGACAGGCTACGGGTAGCATGGCTGGCAGGTGTTGGCCAGAGCAGAGCCTGTCTGGAACTAGTGGGTCGGAAGGGGGCTGTGCCCTAGGTGGGGCTGACCACAGTCTCAGCCACAAAGACATGGAAGGCTCAGCCCACGGCGATGCAAGGTTGGGCAGGCAGGTTTTTGAAAACAATGATGCCGAAAGGACCCCAATTTCTTCTAGAATACTTAATGTGGACTTATGAGAGACCACAAATAAATCACAACGGTGGTAAATTTTTCATAGACTCAATGCATTTATGTGTCCTTCTCCACACAGGGAGGCCACATGAGTAGTGGCCCAGGGATTGGGGCACAGAGCACAGGTGGGGGCTCGGGGGGGCGAGGCACGGATCATGCTTCCTCAGCATTCCTCAGATCGTGCTCTGAGGGCAGCTCAGGGGTGTGGCTGAAGTTTGAGCGACAGCCAGCACCAAGGCGTGAGGACAGAAGGGAGAAGCTGACGGCCACAGGGGGACAGGGGAGCAGGTGGAGGGCCCAGGCTGGTTCTCTCTCCTCTGACACAGTCCTTCCTGGCCAGTGCCAGCCTGATGGCCATGGCCTAGAGGCCAGCGTGCAGGAACCATCTGTAGCATTCCAGCGATGGGCAAAATATCTTACGTCACTAAGTGGAAAGTTCCCTCTTTGAGTCTGAGAAGGTGGATTTTGTGGTTAGCTTGCAGATGGGTGTACATCAGAGGCCCAGCTGGTTTCCCATGTCCTCATTTGGAGATAATCGCTCCTTTTCAGTATATTTTCTGAAATGTCTAAGCTTAAACTGAACAACTTCAGAATGTAAGAATAACATGTAGAAGTCACATCCAGGGAAAAGAGCCAATGCTTCCTTCCATGTGTTTAGAATTTTAAACTTTCTGCCCTGAAAATACTACAAAGGTTCAGATGTGTTCCAACATATTGATTACTAATAACTCTTTTCAAACAGATCGCACCCTTGTAGGACTGGCAAATCTTAGACTGCACTTACCTGTTACACTAAGATATTTTACGCAAAATAGCTTTGTTATTTATAGAAAGCTACTTTTCTTTTTTTTTTTTTTAACTAGATAGATTCACTAAAATGAAGAAACAAAGAATTTAATAATGAAAGGAATGCAGAACATTTAACATGAAGGCAACCAGGCCATGATTATTTATGTGGAGACAGTCCTGCTCTGGAATCCGGCCTCATGGTGGGGTTGCAACTGTATCTTAGAAGCTCTGTGCAGCAGCTTCGACACTTCCCCACTAGATGGGTCAGTGGACTGAGTTTTCCACCCAGACCTCACTTTTCTCATGACACTTCTGCACAGGGCACTTTTCAATCCCTTCAAGGATTTCATGGGCATTTATAAATGCAGGAAGCTATTCACGGCCCTCAAAGGGCAACCACTGCCTCGCTCTCCCCTAAAGCCAAGAAAGAGCTTTTATCCCGGGAATGTGAAAAGCAAGGCCAAGGCAGTTTCACACGTGGGGGGAGTGATGGCAGGGAGGGTGGGGGATTAAAATGCTAATGTTTTATTTGAAAAGGAAAACCTTTGATTTTTAAGAAAAGAATTCTAAAATGAAGACATTTCATTTCTTTAAGTTACCAAAGACCTGGCAGATAACACACCCAGCGCCCCAGCATCCAGCTTGGAAAATAACGCTTTGGACTTGTGCTCTGGAGGATGCCGCTTGGTTTTTTTCAGCCTTGATGGAGAGTGAGGGTGGTTTTTAAGAGCTTTTGGGTGGCTTGGCAGGTTCCGTGAAGCATGAGCTTTCCATGGGAACATTAGATTTTCCCCAAATTAGTTCTTGTTTTTATCAAAATTATCTGTACATGTCATTTTAAACAAAGTATTAAAATGATTATAATTAAACAAACTGCCCACCTACCTACTTGCCAGTTGGATTGCCCAGTTTCCTAAATCCATTCACTCATTAAAGAACATAGGGAATATATTTGGTTATTCAAGTCTGACTTCTCAGCCCACTTCCAGGCCAGGCACTGCCCTGGGAGTGAGGGGAAGGGAGGCCCTGCCCTTACGGTATCAGCACCCGCAGCAGGGACACTGTGGCCACAGGCCCCCGTCCTGTGGTAAGTGGCGTGTGGGAGTAGGAGGGCATTGGCAGGGGCATGCGGACAGTCCAGCTCCCCGCCGGCCTTTGTGTGTGTCTCCTAGTGTCTCCACCACATGCTCATGTACTTTCTTGACCCATCAGTTTTGGACATGAGTTCCCAACTTCCTAGCACAGCGGGGCAGGCTCTGGTTCTCTGTGCCTTTGTTCCCATGCCCCACTCTCTTCACAGAGTTTTATGAGAATAGAAGGGGCCCTGCCTCTGAAAAGCTGAGGAGCTGTCACCGAGTGCAGAACGACACCCAAGAGAGGCTGTCACCGAGTGTGAGCGCAGAACAATATTCAGACATGGCTGTCACCGAGTGTGAGTGTAGAACGACATCCAGATGATGCTGTCACCCAGCGTGAGTGCAGAACAACACCCAGACGAGGGTGTCACCCAGTGTGATTGCAGAACGATACCCAGATGACACTGTCACCCAGCATGAGCACAGAACAACACCCAGACGCACTCGGCAGCTAAGGCTCCCCTCTGGTACAGGCAGACGTACATGTGACTCGCACTTATGAACGGGGGCTATTACCGGTAGTAAGGAAATGCCCTTGTTCCTACTTGTACACGAATTCACCTTAAGAGCAAACCCATAGAACTGTCTTTTTCGACTCCTCTTGGGACATTGCAGGATGAGCTCCACTGAAACACAGGAGTGGTGAGAAGTCGGCAAAGGCCACGGAAGGCCCATGGGAGCCAATGGGGCTGCACGGGGAGGTCTCCAGAAGAAAACAACTCGTACCGTATCGGATGTGCTTGAAGGCTGGGAAGTACTTGAAGATATGAAGCCAATGAGGGCTGCTGTGAGGACCCCTGGATGACATGGGAAGCAGGGTCTTCTTAAATGTCACACCTGGGCTCTGGATGTCCCAGTCAGGCCCACGGCCCCATGGTGTGGACTGCAGGAACTTCCCACTTGCTCACTCGATTCTGTTGCTGTCATCATAATTTACATAAACTGCCCAGTTTATGCCACTCTCCCCACCCCATCCGCTGCTGTGACACCTCTCTGTATCGTCAGCTTGTGTTGTGCCCAGGAGTTCCACAAAGACAACACTGCCCAACAAGCCAAATTTACAGCAGAATCCTTTTATTGAAGAGCTGGCCGGCGACTGTCTCAGTGTCCCAGCATGGGGTTTCTGAGAGCAGCCCTGAGTGCTTAAGGAGTCAGGTTTTTAAGGCGTGGTCTGCATCCTGGTTGGCTGCAGGCTGTCCAGGTGCACTCAGGTGGGGTAGCAAGCAAGCATCGCACAGAAGCAGAATGTTGTGGTTAGTTAGCTATACGTCAGACATCTTTGTTTTCATATTTTCCCATACATCTTAGTTCCAGTATTCTTTCCACCTGGTATTGTTTAAAGGTCAGTCTGGGGATAGTCAGTTCATTTCCCAGGGAGTTAGTCAAGCAAGAAGTTAGTACTTTCCCATCTATCTTGGGAGTGAACCAGACTTACTCCATTTTGTTGAAGGCTTGCAGCCCTGGAATTTTCTAGGAATTAACTGGTATTTTTCTACTTTAGCCTAGGCCTAACAGTTGGTGACAGGTACTGTCCTGGCATCATCCAGGCTGACACTGCACCTGATACACCTGAGACACTTGATGTTTATTGAATGAATATGCCAGTGCACAGAGGTTTTGACAGCAACTGCTCTGCGTGGTGGTGTGGGCTTAATGAAGTCTCCCCGGGGAGGCCAGCAGACTGTGGTTGGTGCCTGTGGAAGTGAGGAGGGCCACGTCCACCTCACCCGGTTGTTGTGAATGTGAAATGAGACCACCAAGGAGCGCTGTGCCTTGCTGTCTTGGGCACCCGGTCAGTGCTCATTTGCAGTCCTGCCGTATCTGCAATTCTCTGGGCTCCCACCCTTGTCCTCCTCTCTGCAGTGTGGCACCCTTGCCACTAGCAGTGAGTGCATTCTCAGTGGTGTCAGACAGTCCTGGCTGCTACAGTCAGGGCGTCCAACCTATAGCTACGTTGACAATATAGTGAGACTCAATTTACAGCTGACAGAAGGCCGCAGCGTCAGAACTCAGGCACACACCTCAGTCTGACAGGACTTAGCCATTCTGCGGTACACACGGTACCAATTTTCTTAATCTAAACAATCTAGGAAATATCTTCCTTCCCTGTCATTGAGCATGAGAACATTTAGCTGAAGTTTTAGGGCTCAAGAAAGGATGCCGGTTTCGCCTCCGTTCTCATGCTGACATGTTTCCACCTTTTACCAATTATATACTGAGGGCCTTGCACGGCAGGACATCTGCTCCTCTCCACATGTGGTGGGGAGACGCAGTGACGGCTCAGTGACCACACGTACTCTCTGGACTGACCTTTGTATAAGTTATTTCCTTCCTCCATTGTATGAAAGAAAACACTCGGTGACATTTTCCACTCCTCTTCTTCTTCCTGTTCAAAGCAGAATAATATTTTTGTTAATTACAGGCATAGTTAATCTGTCAAGATCAGATGTACAAGGCGCGTACGTTGTGACTGCCATGAGTATGGTCTATGTCATGCAGGCCCAGGGCTCGTCCCTTTAGCAGCTCCCCCTGGCTTGTCTGAGCAGGGAGGGCTGAGTCCACCAAGCAGGGTGTGGGTGGTCCAGGCGCACGGCGGTGTCCCCTGCAGGGGCTGGCTTTCCATTCTCAGTGGCCTCCCTGCGGCAGCCCATGTTTTGCTTTGGTCCCGTCCTTCGTGTTCTGGTTCCTTCCTTGCTCTAAGGCTCAGTCTCCAGCGTGAGTCCTGTCAGGCTCCCTCCACCACCTTTCCATAACTAGGCTCTGGAGTGACTCCCTGTCCTCTGCTCTGTGTCCCCACCTGCCAGGTTTTGGCTTCTGTAAGTGCCATAGCTTGTGTCCCTGTTCCCTCTGTGAGCCTGGAGTCCTGGCCCTGGCCCAGCTGGGGCCCTGCTTCCTTCCTGGAGCTGGGGTCTAGCTAGCCTGTCCCAAGCCTCCTGCCTCTCCACCACAGAGCAGCCTGACCATGTTGTCCTCAGCTCCTGCTGCTGACTCTGCACACGGAGAGGGAGACTACGGTGCCACCACTGCCTGCACAGGCCACAGCTCTGCTCTGAGCCCCAGCACAACACCTCAATGCCCCCAGGCCACCAGGGCCCAGCTGCTCCCAGTAGTGAGAGTCTGGCCTTGCAACCCCCCATTTGTGTCTAGGCAATAATGACAGGTTTCTGATGCTCAATGTCATGGCTATTGCCACCCTCAGAAAGAACTAAGGGAACAGGGCTGGTCTGCATCACAACCATGAGTTTCAAAGTATCCTGTGTACACGCTGCACAGCTTAGAGGGGGAGCAGAAAATAGGACAACGTGAGCATCTCACTGGGTGGCTTCTGGAGCCCCCCCATGGCTCTGGCCCAGATGTGCCCCCCTTTCCTGGGCTCCAGAGTCAGGCCCTGGGATATGGCTTCCAAACCCTGTGTGCCACAGGCCCTGGTGCTCGTGCAGTCTGTGCCTCGGATCTCAACACCCTTCTCTTTTTTCTAAGCAAGTCCCAAACTCCACCTGTTCTGTCCCCTAAGCTTTCCTGGCCCCACCCCACCCCCAGGCCTGTTTCTCTGGCCCTTGCTCCCAGGTTATGCAGCTCAGGCCTTCACGTCTGACCAGCACGGGCTCATGGCAGGCCTCAGGACCCCCTCCTTTGAAGCCCCACAGAGGGGTCTATTTAGAGCTCCCTGGAGGCTCCATCCCGCGTGAGACAAAGGACAACCCCCTCCCAGGCATGGCTGCAGGTCAGGCCCCAGCCTGCCTCTGTAGTCCTTGCTCCTGCCACTGCCCACCTGTCCTGATTGTCACTTTCTAGGCTTAGCATGCATTTGCTTGCCACACAGAGAGGGCCTGACACAGATACACAGACAGACCTGGAGCCTGGTACCTTCCATACCCGTCACCACACAGAGAGGGACTGACACAGAGACACCGACAGACCTGGAGCCTGGGACCTTCCATACCCGTCACCACACAGAGAGGGACTGACACAGAGATACCAACAGACCTGGAGCCTGGTCCCTTCCATACCCGTCACCACACAGAGAGGGCCTGACACAGAGACACCGACAGACCTGGATCCTGGTACCTTCCATACGCCCCACAGAGAGGGACTGACACAGAGACACCGACAGACCTGGAGCCTGGTACCTTCCATACCCGTCACCACACAGAGAGGGACTGACACAGAGACACAGACAGACCTGGAGCCTGGTACCTTCCATACCCGTCACCACACAGAGAGGGACTGACACAG